TCCATTAAAAAATATATCAAAAATCATCAAAATGACGAATATCGGAAGGTACCGTTATATGGGGACTATACCAAAAAGTGGACGGATATATCTCATTTTCAATACCAACCATGCTAGACACAATACAAATTATTCTGCTAAATTTTGACGCTCTATGTCAAATAATGTGGGCTATATCGTGATTTCGAAAGACAGACGGACGGACAGTCAGGCAGACGGACAGACAAACGGACATTGTTAAATCGACTTAGAATTTTATGCTGATTATGAATATATATATATATACTTTTTGGGATATTTAGGGATGTTACAAACAGAATGACAAAGTTAATATACCCTCCTTTCCAAAAAATTATGGCATTTGATTTTGTTCCAGTTTTTATACCCTCCACCTTGGAAAGGAGGTTATATTAACTTTGTCATTCCGTTTGTAACATCCTTAAATATTCGTAGACCCCATAAAGTATATATTCATAATCAGCATAAAATTCTAAGTCGATTTAACGATGTCCGTTTGTCTGTCCGTCTGTCTGTCTGTTGAAATCACGATACAGCCCACATTATTTGACTTAGAGCGCCAAAATTTAGCAGAGCAATTTGCATTGTATCTAGGATGGTTGGTATTGAAAATCAGATATATCGGTCCACGTTCTGGTATAGTCCCCATATAACGGTACCTCCCGATATTCGGTATTTTGATGATTTATGCCACATTTTTTCACGAATTTGTCTGAAAATTGGTATTTGTAGGTCATAATGGGTCCCTGTACGTGTCGCAAAACATTGTATGTATAGGTCCACGTTTTGATATAGTCCCCATATAACGGTACCTCCCAATATTCGGTATTTTTATGATTTTTGACACATTTTATCAAGAATTTATCTGAAAATTGGTAGTTGTAGGTCATAATTGGTTCTAGCTCCTTTGGCGAAACATTGAATGTGTAGGTCCTCGATTTGGTATAGCCCCCACATAACGATACCTCCCGATATTCGGCATTTTAATTGTTTTTGCCACATTTCCTCTAATGTTTCCTTTACCCTAAGGTGAAGGGTATTAAAAGTTTGGCCCGGCCGAACTTTATGTTTTTTTTACTTGTTTTTATCTCACCCTGTATAAATTAAAACTAAATGCATTTCTCAACACAATATTATAATTGTAATAAAGATAAAGATGTTTCTCCTTAAAAACCTCACTCTTTTTATACCCAAAATGGAAACCTATTCCCAACGACACCCTATAAAACATCCTTCGTATTATTTTTGCTCTCCATGAACCCTTACATCAACAAGCACGCACAAATAGTTCAACATGAGTAAAAGAACATTCTTATCGCCGACACTCCAAGTATTCCGCTCCATTTACCAATTTTTGGGAATTGGTTCCTGCTTTCCTCTAGAGGCCAATAAACTGCATCCTGCACATTTTGCATAAGTGCCCTTGTAGAGCAAAGCCAGCCACTCTTTTTTGGCTGGCAAGTATAAATTCGTTCAAATTTACATACTCATATGGAAAGTAAATAAACTTCAAGTTTTTTTTTTCTTTGTTTCCTCCCTGGAAATTATGCCCTACCACAAGGGAAACGGCTTCATGAGGAGCAGGGTTGAATAGACTTTCGGTATAAGTAGATATGATTTTTACTTATGGAAATTGGCCATAAATGCTGTATTGTGCCCTGGCCTCAGCCTCGACGACGATGATGATGATGATGCCACTGATACTGTCGGTGGTCATGTAGGTGGCAATGCGGTATTTTTGTTGTTGTTGTTGTTATCGTACTTTCCAGCCGCTTACGATATTGATGTGAATTTCAACCTCTTCAGTGGCTAAAGTTTTTGAAAATATCCAAAAGTGTCCGAAAATATGAATAAATATTTTTTTCGGGAGTGTGCCAGGATGTGAAAAATTATGCCAAGTGGAAGTATAAAATAATTCATGCATAATGTATGGGATGTGCGATTGGCCATACCGGACGAGAATGATAGTAGTCAGTGCATGGGCAGGACAACGCGTCGAAAAGTATGAAAATGTATAAGTCAACAATAAATGAAGTATTGAAAAAACCCATATCGTCGAGTCGAGCCAGAAAATCGGTAGGCACACAAAATGATTTTAAGGCAATTAATTGAACATATTGCAAGTAATTACGTTTGCTCAGTGAAGAGGAAAATAAAAACAAACAGAAAGATAAACATAGGGAGTTTTCTTTTAATTTTTGGAGGAGTTTTTCTTTTGTAATATTCAGTGAGCATATTTATATGACGATGATATTATTAATTTAAAAAGAGTGTTGAACTTAACTTTTACCCTTGCGGTGGGCTAAAAATGTTATTGTTTCAGGACATTTAGATTAGATATAACCAAGAAAACTGCAACCAAATTCAGACTGTTATCATTTCTATATTACTCGTCCGACAGCTGTTAAAATTATTCCAGTGGCATCTCATTATATTGTTTACAAGCGTACAAAAGCATTTTGTTGAGAATTTTCCAGAAAAAAAGTTATTCGTGATGGAATTCAAGCGTGATAGTGTGATTTCTTTATATTTGGCTGGAGCACTCCAGCATTTAAATGTGAATAAATCTTTTGTGTTTCGTACCATCGCTCGTTATCGTAATGCTTGTAGCGTAGCCCAACGTCAAGGAAGTGGACGGAAGAAAACAGCAACATTAGCAGAAATGGTTCGAAAAGTAAAGAAGCGACTTTATCGAAACCAGCATCGCAGTGGCCGAAAAATGGCTCGTGAACTGAACATATCGCAATATTCCTTTCGGCCAATATTGCAAAATGAGCTCGGGGTAAAGCCATTGAAATTCCCAAAAGTGCAAGAACTTACACCGCAACAGGAAGAAAACAGACTCAAAAGAGCTAAAGAGTTGCTTCGCTTGGCCGAAAGTCGTGAATTGGTTTTCTCCGATGAGAGGTAAACGATCGCGTTTACTTGCCAAAGAGGTCAGCTGAAAATGTGCACCTTCGGTTGGCCACCAGAACTCAAGCGCCGGACATGGTGATGATGTGGGCCGCCATAACAGCCGATGGTCTATCGTGGCATCAGAATAAATGACGAATATTATCGCGAAAATATTCTGGAGGGTGTATTAAAGCCTTGGACACGCAAACATTTTGGCCGCAGACTTTAGACATTCTAACGGGACTCAGCACGTGCCACCCAAGAATGGTTACAAAATGAGGTTCCTCGCTTCATTTTCAGCTGACAATGGCCACCAAAATCTCCGGATACCAATCCGTTGGACTATTGTGTCTGGAGTATTTTGGAAAGCAAGGTTGGCACTAAAAAATACCAACGTGTCGATCACCTCAAGCAAGCGCTTCGCCGGGAATGGGCCCAAATACCGCAGAGCAACATTCGGGCAGCGTGTGACGGTTTCATAGGCCGTTTGAAAGCCATAATTCGTACCAAAGGTGGCCAATTCGAACAAATCTAAACTTATTTTAAAATTTGATGCTATTTCCGACGTTTGGAAAAAGGAAAAAAATTATTGCGTTTGACTTTGTTGCATTGCTATAACTCTGTATAGTACCATTTAGTACTGTATATTACCATTTAGTACATATTTCCGAAATCACCTCCACACGCAAACATTTTGGCCGCAGACTTTAGACATTCTAACGGGACTCAGCACGTGCCACCCAAGAATGGTTACAAAATGAGGTTCCTCGCTTCATTTTCAGCTGACAATGGCCACCAAAATCTCCGGATACCAATCCGTTGGACTATTGTGTCTGGAGTATTTTGGAAAGCAAGGTTGGCACTAAAAAATACCAACGTGTCGATCACCTCAAGCAAGCGCTTCGCCGGGAATGGGCCCAAATACCGCAGAGCAACATTCGGGCAGCGTGTGACGGTTTCATAGGCCGTTTGAAAGCCATAATTCGTACCAAAGGTGGCCAATTCGAACAAATCTAAACTTATTTTAAAATTTGATGCTATTTCCGACGTTTGGAAAAAGGAAAAAAATTATTGCGTTTGACTTTGTTGCATTGCTATAACTCTGTATAGTACCATTTAGTACTGTATATTACCATTTAGTACATATTTCCGAAATCACCTCCATACCTCAGTTCCACCATGGCAAAATTAAGAAGGTAAAGTCATTTCAAAAAAGCATTCCCATTTCTGCATTTTCTGTAATTTACCTTGTCTCATTTCACTACATAAAAACAGGTTCCCATCTCTGATTTGTGTATGTACAATGGATTTATAAATACAAACTTTGACAATGAGATGTTGTTAAATGAATAATTTTTGAAAAAATTGTAAACATATGATTTAATGACTTTACCTTCTTGATTCTACCATGACAGAGACCTTAAAATAACATTTCGGTATTCCAGCTTTATCGGTTCACACAAATCTAAATTGTACCAAATTTAGTACGAAAAATACGAATTTCCAAAACTTCCTTCGACTCAAATCTTACACTCCAAATTTCCAAAGTTACCACCATGACTTGAACCATACAATGCCATTGGAATATTATATCCAAATTTCAGAATTCCAGATCTATCGGTTCACCACAATTTCAATTTGTACCAAATTTAGTACCATTTGGAACACATAAGTAAAAATTTCCCTTACAACCTGAATCGTGCAATTCAATAGAAATCTTATTTCTAAATGATCAGCGTAAATTTCTTAGACGATTTATCTCTGTCCGCCCGTTTCTTGTATAATGAGCTGTCACTGGAGTAATTTTAACAGCTGTCGGACGAGTGGCTTAAAAATTACAGCAATCTAAAATTGGTTGCAGTTTTCTCAAGTGCGAATTTTTACTCATTTACAATTGTTTGTCACATTATAATGTGTTTTAATGTGGAAAATAAATCACCGCATCTTATTATGAAATTTTACTTTTCTCTTGGATCCAGAAATGCTAACGGAACTACAATAAATTTTTTGAATCATTATTTTCACTTAAAATCTGCTTTATTAAAACAATACAATGTTTTAATAATTAATTCAAACACAAATATATGTTACCATATTTGGAAAATGTTGCATTTATTATTATCCGAATAACGAGTACGATGATGATGCCATAATTCCAGTAAGAATATAACCGCACCAAGACTCAAACCAATAACAAGTACAAGCCAAGCCCATTCTAAGTCATTGGCGGTCATAATACTTGGCCCACGTTCAGGATTTGGATCTGTCAGTGATAAACGTTTTAATCTTAGCAAATCAAGAAATGCACCGTTGTACCAGGCATCTGGCAACCCAGCTTGATTAGCTCGATGTAGAACATAATTAAAGGGTTCTTTATACGGAGAATTTGGTTGCAGCAATATATTCCAGGGTATAAACTTATGTAAGGTCAAATTTTCGTAGGTACAGTAGGTTTTGCGACTATGATATTTTTGCTTCAAATTTAAGAACTTCCATTGGGCCGAAGCTACATAGTAACCGGTTGAGGTATTGTAATTATAACGCATGCTGGAATATTCGGCAATGTCTTCGGTAATAATCACCGAACGGGAAATAGGCAACATAACGTCACCCATAATGGCCAGATCACCTTTCAGAACGTTTATTTTAAAATTGAGGTTGCGTATATCCTCTAAAGTTTCGATTTGTTTGTATCTTGGAGGACTTGTAAAGAGGGTATTCATTCGTGCCGAAAACTGGGTATTGATGTTCAGGCCAGCAAAGAATAGAAGAATATAAATCAGTTTCAAGCAACGCCATGGTGAATTGCGACCAGTGAATGATAGACCCAAAACTCCACCAATTATACGATTATTAAAAACCAGATCCATGTAACTAAAGTGTTGATCAAAATAACAGTCGATGACGAAATGAAAAACTGAGAACAGCACCGTACAGACTACGACCATGCCAAAGAAATATTCATTCAAAAGAATTTTGAACATATCTCTTATAGATAGGGGGCTTGAACATGGCACTATTATCGATGCACTGCCTATTTCATAAACATCCGAGGCATAAATCCAAGTACTGTGCTCAGCTATGCCTGTTACATGCAGACACATGGCAATGTCAATCAGACGTTTGATGGCCATACCTGCAACTACTGTGAAATGGGTGAAACCTCTCTCGACTATTGGCTTATACATCCTTAGAGTGCCATTAAAATGTTCCGCAAAAAGTACCACCAAGCTGGCCACATTTCCATTGAGTTTCAAATTTCCCTGCCCATCATAGTAGGTTACGGACGAAGGAAGGGACTGATCAGTGTACGTGGTAACATTAGCTCCATACAAATTCCGCCAATGTTGTGGATAATATGTCAAATCTATTTCCTTAAAATTCCTCTTTTGCCAATGAAATTCAGGGAAGGGTTTCAATTGTTGATAGTCCAATGGGATTTCAGATGAATTTCGTAAAAACTGCAACAAAACATTGGTCATGGAATAATCTTTGAGTAGAGGCAAACAATCGGTCATGAATTCTTCTTCATTGCTTATATTCCCAGCAATTAACAATATTCTTGATTGACGTATATAATTTAAGGATCTAGCTGCAATCTCCATTAGTTCCAAATCCAATGCAGCAGACATTAAGATTATCACAAAAATTTCCGAATTAAAAACTTTTTTATAGAAGAATTCAAAATGTTTCGAAAGAAATATTTTCGGGTGAGGAAAACTATAGATTGCTTTCAGCCTCAGATCATTGAAACCATCCTCGTGTAACACAACCAGGGTGTCATAGGACCTTTCTTGATGTATGTTCCGCAACAAGTTAGTATAGAAATCCACTTGACCATGAGTGGTCGTTGAGCTGGCAACAACACTCCACACAAACAGAAGTAGCAAGACCGAGCCGAGTGCTGTGACTATCATCCTATGTGGATTTATTTTGACTAAAAGAGTTTTTACGTTTCTACCCTCCTCTAACCAAATATCATTAAATTTTTTTTATTCCTAATTATCAAATTATATGTTCAGCTTTTAATAACTTTGTGTGACCATACCAAATTATGTACGGGGCTCCACACGAAATCTATCCAAAAATATGTATCAACCCATTCCTCAAAAGTAAAATTATAATTATGCTGTCGAAATGATTTGGAAAATAAACAAAAAATGCGCCACAATGATTGAACTATATTATTTTTGTTAAATGGGGGAAATAGGGGGTGTGTGTGAAAATTTTGTGAAAGGTAATGCTATTATGTTATGTTAGCAGAGCAACAAATAAAATATGTCTTTTAAGTTGAACGGTTAAAGGTAAAAGATATTTTATATTTATTGACAACATTTCGAATTCAATTCTTATGGCTTACAAGTTTTTATTCGTTCAAGTATATTTTCCAACAGTTTATTTCAACACTCCCACTCGAACAAAAACTCTTTTAACAAAATCACATTTGAAATGAACAAAATTGAGGCTTTTTTTTTTTTTTTGTAAAAAAGCTTATTTAAAGTGTCCACTATCATCACTTCAGTTCGAACTCCCACAAAATGAACAAGATTCGACCCTTCTTTTGCGGTATAAAATAGCTGCGGACATCAATATATTCAGATCTTTCCAAATATTGGAATCAGAATATGCAATTAAATCTCCATTTTCTGGGGAGAGGTCACGGAGGCCAATGTGCCACAGAAATGTGTAAAAATCGAGACTGAGAGTGATACAACACCGAACTGTTGAGTTTTCATACCCTCCACCATTCTATGGAGTTGATATTAACTTTGTCATTCCGTTTGTAACTCCTCGAAATATTCATAATAGACCCTACAAATTAGCGTAAAATTCTAAGACGACCTAGAGATATCCGTCTGTCTGTCCGTCTGTCTATCCGTTATAATGACGCTATCTTTCGAACGAATTGAGATAGAAGGCTAAATTTTTGCATACATGCATAGTTTACCAGTGGGCAGGTTAAATTCGTGAATGGGCCATGTCGGTTCACGCTTTCGTATAGCCCCCATATAACGGTACCTCCCGATAATCGGTATTTTGACGATTTCAGCAACATTATTCGGCGGAATCGTTCCAAATTTCATATTTAAAATTCGTAATGGGTACTGCAGCCTATGACAAAAAAATTTTGTATGCAGTTTCACGTCTTCGTAAAGCCTCCATATGACGGAACTTACCGATATTCGGTATTTTTATGATTTCAGCGACATTATTCACCGGAATTATTTCAAATTTTGTATTTGAAGTTCGTAATGGGTGCTACAGCCTATGACAAACATTTTTGTATGCAGGACCACGTCTTCGTATAGCCCCTATATATTCGGTATTTTCATGATTTCAGCAACATTATTCTCCGGAATTGTTTCAAATTTCGTATTGAAAGAAATCGAATAGGTACTACAACCTATGAAAAAAAAAATTGTATGCAGGTCTACGTCTTCGTATAGCCCCTGTTTAACGGTACCTCCCGATATTCGGTATTTTGATGTTTTTATCGACATTATTCACCGGAAAAGTTTCAAATTTGGTATTTGAAGTTCGTTATGGGTATTACAGCGTATTCCAGAAAATTGTCTGTGCAGGTACACGTTTATAACCCCTATGATACCTCCCTATATTCGATATTTTGATGATTTTGACGGCCCACACCACCACAATGGTGGTTGGCCAGGTGTACATCTGACCTCTTTGGCAAGTAAACAGGATCATTTTGTTAGTTTACAAACTGCTGGACAACGAATGTTTTCTCATCGGAGAAAACCAAATTCGGCAGTTCACCACTTTCGGCTAAGCGAAGCAACTATTTAGCTCTTTTGAGTCTATTTTCTTTCTGTTGCGGTGTAAGTTCTTGCACTTGTTGGAATTCCAATGGCTTTACCTCGAGCTCATTTTTCAATATTTTTCGAATGGAATATTGTGGTATGTTCAGCTCACGAGCCATTTTTCAGCCACTGCGATGCTGGTTTCGATCAATTCGAACCATTTCTGCTGATGTTCCCGCTTTCTTCCGTCCTCTTTCTTAACGTCGGACTACGCTACCAGTAGCACAGTAACGAACGATGGTAGGAGACACAAAAGATTTATTCACATTTAAATGATGGAGTACTCTAACGATAGCCACTTGTGGTTTTCCAGCCAAATATAAAGAAATCACACTATCACGCTTAAATTCCATCACGAATAAATTTTTTTCTAGAAAATTCTCACCAAAATGCTTTTGTACGCTTGTAAACAATATAATGAGCTGTCACTGGAATAATTTTAACAGCTGTCGGGAGAGTGGCTTTGAAATGACAACAGTCTGAAGTTGGTATATTTTAATAAACTGACATAGGCTGAGGGTATACATTTGTCGGCAAAACCGACTGATGGGTACCTCAAAGTACCCATTACTCGTCAAATAATGATACACCCTGATAGCCAATAACCAAAATGATCACTGCTTTAAAGAATCCATCAACATAAAATCAAAATTGTGTTTTGTTCTCAGCACTTTAACACTTGAATACTTGAGTGAAATTACAGATGGGCAACTTAGTTCTCCATGGCCGAGACGACTCTATTCACACATGTATGCTGGTCGAAACAAACAGTCGACAACTTGGTGTTTAACTTCCGTTTACTTTCGGTTCCATGTTCTTTGTCTGTTTTGTTTGCAAATTTCATTTCACTAGAATGACATTTGTCCCGGCGATGCACGACACCATTGCAAAACAGCAGCAATTTTCAAGCATTAGGGTTGTGAAGCAGGTATAGGGGGAAGGGTGTTAAAAAAGACAAATGAACACCTTATTGTGTTTATGCCGCTACTGGGGAAGAACGATGAATTACTACGTTGTTGTTGGGAGGAGCAGAAGACAGACATTATCAGGAGAACTTTTTGTTAAACTAGTTTGGAAGGCACATATTTGGTGGGTCGGCGAAAAAAACACGTTTCTATAAAAAGCTAATTAAAACAATGACAATTTCAACCTTTTGCGGGGAGAGGTACCAGAAGGAGTGGACCGATATACTCCATTTTAAAACCAGACCTTGGTTTAACATATTTGACGACAATCGGACTCTTACATCACATTTTATAGGAATAGTTATAGTGGGGAAGGTACTTGATGGAGTGAACCGATATTGTCCACCTGACATAGCACTGGCGTTAATTTGCAAATTTGGAGCAAAATCGGATTTCTGTGCAGAAAATATATTTTTTGAAAATTACGATCTTTTGTGAGGGAGGTACTGGAAGGAGTGATGGTATAGCCATATGGCTTAGGGTATAATAAAATAAATAAAACAAGTAAAAAAGCAGTAAGTTCGGCCGAGCCGAAATTAGAAAATTTTCAAAAAATAAAATCTATTAAAAATTCAGTTAGAATCTTTAAAATACCTAATATTGGAAGGTGCGAAATATGGGGGATATACGATATTGTAAACCTATATAGACAAATCTATGTCTGGGGGTAAAGTACAAAGAACTCCTTTTGTAGATTTTCAGAGAATTCCGTTGAAAAATGTGTCTAAAATCATCAAAATACCGAACATCGGGGGGGGTACCACTTATGGGGGATATACGATATCCTTGACCTTTAAAGAGAATTCTCCGTCAGGGGGTAAAGTGGTCCAAACAACTCCTTGTGAAGAATTTTAGGCAATTCCGTTGAAAAATGTGGCTAAAATCATCAAAATACCAAACATCGGGGGGTACCACTTATGGGGGCTATACGATATATTTGACCTATATAGGCAATTCTCTTTCAGGGGGTTAAGTACTCTCAAGCAACTCCTTGTGTGGAATTTCAGACAATTCCATTAAAAAATGTGGCTAAAATCATCAAAATATGGAATATCTGGGGGTACCGTTATATGGGTGCTATACAATATCGTGGACCGATATAGCCTATCTTCGAACTGGACCTGCCTGCAGACAAAAGACAGATCTGTGCAAAATTTTAGCTCCCTATCTTAATTCGATTTGACTGTAGCGTGATTACAACAGACGGACGGACATGGCGTCTTAGAACTTAATATACCTTCCATACTATGTATGGTGGAGGGTATAAAAACTAACTAAGGGAAACATTAGAACCAATTAAGACCCACAAACACCAATTTTTACCGCTATCTAAATTCTATCGAAAATCCGTTATAAAAATTTAATAATCTTAATATATATTAAACCACTGTACCCTCTAAATGGTTTATTTGCCCTGTTGTACTATTTATTTTAGCATTGACACATACATTTGCTGGGGTACGAGGACATTGTCCTTTGATCCTGTAACGTGACTGCGACAATTGTTATCCAACATCATCATGTTGACACCTGTGCCCTATGCTCTTCGCTGTAAACTCCCAGGCAAACACACACACACACACCCGCCCAGGCACACATATTTATCTCAAATGCACCTCGCACGGTGTCAGGACTATGGTGGTCATGGCATCAACACATCAGTTATGCTGACGACAACGCTGGTTCTGCTGCCACGGCTGTTCCTGATAATGAAGATGACTTAGTTGACAATTAGACATGAAGGGAGAATGAGGCGTTGATGTTTTCGCCGTATTGTCGCATCCATCATCAAAGCAAATAAACATCAACATCAGGCAGTCATGGCAGCAGTTTCGAACATCAATT